GTTATATCGAGAAATATTGATGAAACGCCCAATCGCGATATGATGTAGCGTGCATACTTTTCGTAAAGAAAGAAAGTTGGCTCGCGAAAAAAGAGAGACGATAAAGTAGGCCGTATCTGTGCGACGCGTTTATAATTGGTCATTTCACCTTCTTCATTCAACTGTCGCCAAGATACCGAACTGGGTTGCGTGCATGCACGTGCGAATCAGCTTCATGAAAATTTATACTACGAACGAGAGTAATGCTACTTAATTTGCGATTTGCATGTGTAGACTTGGATACCGCGCGCATGAAACACGAAGCGCAATGAAATTATGTGGTCGGCCGGAACAAGATATGGTTGATAGGTTCAATATATGACGATGTGTAACATCTTGGGCAACAGAGTCTGATAAGAGTTATTGTGGAAAAGAAATAAATTAGTAGTTTAGAACATTTCGTGATTATTCTCCCCGTCTTTCACGAATCACCGTTAATTTATTACATTTATTCTGTGTGTGTGCGTTCCACTTTCATTAGTGAGAAAGTATATATTTTGAGAAAATCAAGTGTTCTATATTATTGGTTGAATGCATCTAATGTTTTTCTACGTTATTACGCGTTACAAAACGTACAATTATGTAACCTATTGATAAAATAGGCACGAGCGAAATAGAGAAAAATAATGACTAGTTTTCTCATAAAAAAAGAAAGTTTTATTTCTTATTAATATTAATTGTTTGCAGTATAAATAATTTAACTATTTTCGATACACACAATCATGCTTGTCAAGCTCGATAATTTTAATCTGTTTTTATATTTGTGTTTAAGAAATTGCCAATTAGTAATCATCGCGATTTTACGTTACGTTCCGTGAAAAAATAATATTCTCAGATTTTAACTTAATTATTGCACAGCACCGTAAGCAACAGGTTCACACTTCAGACTCTTTCTCTATGAAAATACTTTAATGAAATACACCGGTTAATGAAATACACCGGCATTAAAACCAGCCGCTCGCCGTAATATGGAACTCTACTCGGAGCATACACCTCTACTCACTAAACAAATTATCTGACCATTAAATGTGTAACGTTTTAATTGCGCGTATACTGCTTCGCACATATATAATCACTCGTCGAAAACACATGCGAGAAATGTGCGCTTGCGCAAGAATTTCAATATTTATAACTATGTACAATACAACATGCACAGTTTATTTTCAATATATTAGATAATAATTATTTATAACGTCGCGACAATAAAATATAGTAATAGTGTCGTTTAATAAGAAGAAGATATTTAAAGTGCCGTTACGTGATCAAGAATAAGCGTATAAATATATCTTTTGATATATAA